AAAAAAAATGTCTCTTAGATGGACATTATTAATACCACAGCATCTGGTAATTTCCTACACTATTCTTGTCATCCAGGTGCTTTGTTCTGTTGTTTCTGGCTGCTAAAGGGACGTATGCGCAGTTTACATACAGTTGTAAAACATTTTAAAATTAAACTTTTAAAACTCATCATTTGCCAAATATCCCCCTCTGAAATTTCAGGGCCTGGGTCACCGAAAAGTGAAATGTGCCGTTTGGAAACCATTCCAGATCACCTGGGCCTGGTGCAGGGAGCCAGTGAACAGACCCAACGGGACACATCCTCTCCTTATTTCACCAAATGCTAAGTTACTTAAGAGACAGGGAGACATCCTAGCACAGCATTTCTCCAAGTGTGGTCTCTGGTCCCTCGGAGTCCCCAAGGCCCTTTTAGGGGGTCCATGAGGTCAAACTATCTTCTTAATAATACTAATATTATTTGCCTTTTTTCAGTGCTCATTCTCTCATGCGTATACAGTGGAGTTTCCCAGAGGCTACAGGATGTGTGATATCACAAGACTGAGTGTAGAAGCAGACATGAGACTCCTGCTGCCTTCTAGCAAACCAGATATTAAAGAGATTTGTAAGAATGTCAAATGCCACTCATATCATTCATTTTTTGGATAACGTAATAATTTTTCATAAAGATATGATTTATATGAACACGTAATAGGTTTATGGTTATTGTTAAAAGAACAAATGAGTAAATATTTAAAATGTTTCTATTTTAATTAATAAAATTATAAGTGTGAATTGGTAATAATCCATGTGAACAAAAGCTCTGTGGGGTTCTCAGTGATTTTTAAGAGGGTAGAGGGGTGCAGGGACCAAAAAGTTTGAACAAATATACTTGCTCACCGCGCCTTAAATTCTTCATCTGTAAAATAGAGATAAAATCTACCTAACAGGGCTATAGGGAGAATTAAATTAGAAAAAAATTCTGAAAAATCACCCCAATCAGTAACTAGCACTAAACAGATGGTAGCTATTTTATTGCAATGATTATTTGGTTGATTTATTTACTTAACCAACAGGTCCCACTGATTAAAAAAAAAGGAACGGTGGTGGCTGCAAGAGGCAGTCCGTGAGAACTCTCCAGGCCTCTGAAACTAGTCAAATCCAGGATCTATTTTGTTTGAATAGCATACACATTTTGTTTTTTCCCTTTCTCCTCCAACGCCTTCTCTCTATTTTTCTTCGTTTTAAATCTAAAAGCCTTTCAGGTGGACATGCTTTCTCCATCTGACCAGACGCCACAACTTCCTGGACCAGTTCCCATGTTTATTTTACCTTCTCACCCCTGTTATGCATGTAAGCTGCTCGTTACTCACAGGCTATGCTGTCAGGCAGGCCGTGACCTGGGAAACGGGATGCGGACCAGGTGTCACCCTCCAGTCCCTACAGAACGCACTGAAAATGACAGGACTAGCTCCTGGCCCTCCGCAATATTTAAAAGGTTAAGATTACAGTTACGGAGGGGACAGAGGGCTGACCGTTGTAGTCTCCATCAGGGTCAGTGTCCTCAAGATAACTGATCTTTATTGCCTTTCTTACATTAATTTCTTACATTTTCTCTCCCATTAAAAATACCAGGATTCAAACACACACACGGAAATAAGAAAGGGTAAGTCATGAGTCACTGTTGTATAATGAGGAATTTGTCTGGTCTTTGTCCTGAGTTCCTGGGAGGGAGCGTCTAACCCCCCTGGAATTTTCCAGTGATAGGAGTGTCTTGCTTAGTCATGGCAGACCCTCCAACCACACCTGGCTTTATGCTACTGAGTGACTCATGTTGGGCCCCCTGCCAGAAGAAACACCCATGTGATTAAAGGACTGAGGCCTTGAGCTACATATCAGCCTTGGCCTCCAGGGAGAAGGCGGGGCTGGAGACTGAGTTCACTCATGCGGTTGATGATTCAATCATGGAGCCTAGATAATGAAACCCTAAAAAATCTCTGCCCAGAGGCTCAGGTGAGCTTCCTGGTTGGTGAACACATCAATTCCGCTGGAGGATAATGTGTCCCGAATCCATGGGGAGAAGTAACAGAAGCTATGCATTTGGGACCCTCCCGGAACTTGCCCTACATATTTCTTCATTGGGCTAGTTGTGATTTGTATCCTTTAAGATAAAATTGTAATCAAAAGCATAGCATTTTACCAAGGTTTTTTTTTTTAGTTGTTTTAGCATATTATCAAACCTGAGGGGGTCATAAGACTCCCCCCAAAATTCAGAGTCAATCAGTCAGAAGTGTGTGCAGCCAGGGGACCGCTGAACTTATGCCTGGTGTCTGAAGAGAGGGCTGCCTTTTGGGGGACCGTGTCCTTAACCTGTGGGTTCTGTGCTACCTCCGGCTGGTTAGCATCAGGACTCCACTGCAGTGCTGCTGTCGACTTCCTCTTTCCCTTCACACAAAAACAAACAATCCAACACTCACTTTGCCTTTGTCAAAATAGGATATGATTTCTTGATACAGCTTCTCTTTAAGCTCTTGCTGGGTATAAACATAGTAACTGTCCCTCTGAAGCAAATGGGGCGCACAGGGCTTGTCAGACCACTGAAAAGCAAACAAAAGCAACACAAGAGAGTAAGGCAACATATCAATAAATTGATTAAAGGAGATTGACAAATATTCGGTCAAAAAAAAAGGGGCATGAATATTTGTGTATATCTGTGACTCATCCATACTGTATTTTAGATTATTGATGAAACAGAATAATTGCATACACGTACATATACACAGGCCAGCTTCAAAACAAGCGCCGTAGGAATGGACACACACTCAAGGCAGTCCCAGGAAAATCAGGGCCAAGGTGAGGTCACCAGCCAGCACAACTGCTGCTCACGTGAAGGTATCAGTCACACAGTCAGATAAAAGAGATCAGAAGTATAAAGCTGGAAAGGAGGAGGTGTAACTATCACTATGTATAAACAATGATTGCATTCATCACAATCAGTGTCTCCACAAAGGGTGCCAACTGGAAAACTGCTATAATTAGAACTAAGTTAATTAGTGGGCTTGAAAACTGACATGTTTAGAAATAATTCAGAGATAGACTTTACATGTTGAAGATAAAGAAGAAAAGAACCCAACAAGAATAAATCCAAAATGATAAGCTATCTAGGCATAACAATGTGAATGTACTTACTGCCACTGAACTGTACACTTAAAAATGGTTAAGATGGTAAATTTTGTTATGTGTATTTTATCATAATTAAATTAAAAGATATCTAGGAATCAACAAACAAGGAACACGTAAGACTTCTATACAGAAAACTTGAACACATCACCAAAGGGCCCAAAAGCAGACTTGAACAAATGAAAAGTCGTAACATGCTTTTGGGTAAGAAAATGCTATTTCATAAACATGGAAGTTCTCCCTAAGTTAATATTTTAATTGCCTGATTCCAAAGTTCATATGGAAAAATAAACAGAAAGGAACAGGTGGAAATTCTAAAAAAGAAGAGCAATGAAGAGTAACTATTAGGTGATAAGATATACTATAAACAGTTAATAATTAAAAGAAGTTACTAGTACATGAATAGACAGAGACCCACCCAAAATTATACAAAATTATACAAAATTGAGAAAGAGACTCTCCCCGCCCCATAAAGGGATTTCATACATGATAAAAAAGGGATCTCATACAAATGAGAAAAATATGGAATATACTTAGACATCCCTATTGAGTAGTTAGTTATCTGGGGAAACCAAGTTGTCTCCACATCTAATACCTTATTATGCCAGGATAGGAGAGTTTAATTTTCTGAACAGCACAAATGAAAAGACCTCCGGTTCCGGACACCAGGGTTTCTTTCTGATCATCTCACTCAACAAGCCTTCCTCCCTAACCCATTAACATAAGCTTTTTAGGTCCCCAAACTGGAATAGGAATTGTGAATGGCTGCCTTGCGGAAGTCGTGAGTCAGAGGACTCTTGTTTTCATTAAAAAGCTTAGAACAATATACACATATTATTATAGTATAAAATAAAAATTAATTTATATGAGAAAATTAATTGCTAGGGGCAAGAATGGAGGCAGGGAGATGTAACAGGAGGCTACTGTAATTAATGCTCTCAGGGAGGGACAATGGTAGCTTGGACCAGGATGGTGGCAAGCGAGATAAAGTGGATAGAAAGAAAATGAAATCAGGATATCAAAGAGATAGCTGCACTCTCATGTTGATCACAGCATTATTCACAATAGCCAAGATATAGAGGTAAGTGTCCATCAATGGACGAATGGATAAAGATGTGGCAGATACACACAATGGAATATTCAGCCATAAACAAGAGAGAAATCCTGCCATTGTGACAGCACAGATGGGCCTAGTGGGTATTATGCTAAGTGAAATAAGTCAGACATACCAAGACAAATACTGTGTGACCTCACTTACATGTGGAATCCAAAAACAAGCCAAACTCATACAAAACAGAGCATTAGAATAGTGCTTACCAAGGCCTGGGGAGGTGGGGAAATTGTTTAAGGGTACAAACTTGTAGCTAGTAAATCAACAGGTCCTGGAGACCTAATGCATAGCATAGTGATGACAGAGAATAACACTGTATTATCAACTTCAAAGTTGCTAAGAGACCAGATCTTGTTTCCACCACAAAAAAAAGAAAGGGTAACTATGTGACTTAACAGAGGTGCTAGCTAAAGCTGTGGTGGTATCGCAATATATGGCAATATACAAACATATCCAACAGGCATGTGTACCAAATATATGCAATCAACACCTGTGCGCTTTAAACTTAAGCAGCGTTTGTCATATGTCAATTATATCTCAATTAAAGAAAGAAAGAAAGCAAAGTGGAAAGCTTGAAGACAAGAATTGGGCAGAGGGCCCACGGTTCCTGCTGGCAGGGAAAGTGGTCGGTGGTGAATAAGAGAGGAGGGCAGGGATTCGCCTGAGCAACTGGGTGGACTGGCGGTGCCCTTGAGTGAAACGGGAAGAAAGGAGAGGAAGGAATAGAGCAAGGATAACAGTGGGAAACGACAGCTTCTGTTACCGGTATGCTAAGTTTGTACTGTCTATCAGTCATTCCAAGATTGATGTTGAAAGAACAGTCTATATGGGTATCAGAAGTTGGAGGAGTGATCAGAGCCGGAATTAATTATTTGGGATCCATGATGTACAGATGTATTTATATCCACGGCACACTATAATTTTACTTATTGCAAGAGTATTACTAGGAAACTACTCCTATGGGACTATATTCATTTACAACGCACGTCTCTTCCGTTTTACAAATTGTTTTACATATATTAATCAATGGGCATTTGTTTCTTCAATTAGTATCTATCAATAGTGGCCTGTACGTTGTACTCTGCTTTCTAAGGCTTTTCAAATAAATGATAACTGACCTTTTCCCAACCTTGATCTGAAACTTAGCTGGGCCAACTGAGAAGGTATAAAAACACTCTTGGATAAAAGGATCTCCCTTGAATAAGGATCTTTCCTCTCAAAATCATGAAGCGTACCGGATTTGGCCCCAACGGACCGGAGAGTGGATGCCCTGCATTTTGCCTTACACCCTGTTGAAGTGCACAGCTCTGACCCCTTACCTGCAGAAGCTCGGCGTGTAAGAGCAGCGTGTAGGCAGCTTCCGTGTAGTTCTCACAGTCTCGATGCAAATCCCGCAGCTTGTACAAGTATCTGGTAAGAAGGGGAGAAGGGGGCACTTTGCCGCTCAGCAGTTGATCTGGCGTTCAGCGGCAGGCCGCTGTCCCATCTTTTCTCCCCCTCCTCCTTTCTCTCACGCAGAAGAATCCCTTACTTCCTGTCTTCCCGCTGCTTTAACCCTTGGTTCTGCTTCCTCCCTGTGTGCCTTTCCTAACTCCATCGACTCCACTTTATACGCTTCGAGGAAGGCAGTGGTGTTTATTTATTGAATTTTTTATGTCATGGACCCCTTTGGGGAGCAAATAAGAGATAGGGAATCTCTCCCCAAGAAAATGCATATAGTTTGATCTAGTTTGCGTCCTGGGCTTCCTGGATTCAAACACTCCCTGACAGAAGGTCAATTTTCACGCCTCTCCCTACGCAGCTTTTCCTGATCGCCCTGGCCAGCGTCTTTCAGTTCCTTCCCTATGCCCTCCCTCATATTGTACTTATTTGTGTATCTGTCTAAAGAGTTTACCCTTTTAGGGGGATCGGGGCATATCACGTACTTTTTGGTATCTCTCAAAGCAGCAAGCATGGTGGTGGGGCTTAGCATGTGTTGATTGAAGAAATAAATAATAAAGCTATGACATAAGCAGCAAAAGCAGAAATTCCCTTCAGCTTACCTTATGTATATGTCCTCTCTCTTCTTTTCTTTATAAAAATTCTACAAAAGAGAAAGGTCACAGAATACCAACGTAAACCAAGAGCTATTGACTAGTTTGCCACGAACACTGCCCAAATGGCTACTTGTGCTTTTCAACAGCGTCGCTTCTCCAAAGAGTTTATTATGTTCCTTTGACAGACACGGCCACAAGGAAAGAAAGGGACAGTTTATAAAGGTAAGTTGAAGAATTTTTTAGGACCATGCTCCTGAGCAAAGTGAGGGGAACCTTTGAGGGAATGGGTGGCTGGTTTATACTCAAGTCACCTGATGCTGTGCAGTCTCAGGGAATCGGTGGAGGGGGGGTGGCAGTGAGTTCTTGGTTTACCTAAGCAGAGGAATACATGGCAGCCTGAACCTCTGAGGTCTGTGGTCCCAGTGATGTACATCTAGGAAAAGGCAAGACCGAAGAGTTCTACCGCCATGAGATTTCGGGCACTACTGTTCTACTCTAGGGATAGTGTTTCTCACGCATGTTCCTCTGTGCCTACTAATTCCAACAAGAAAGCAACTACATGTACACAAGACAGAGAAACAGGTGAGGGGGGTGACCTTCAGAAAGAGAGTCAAGAGCTTATGTAGCATTTTCCATCCCTGTTTCCAATTTTATCCTCAACGCCTGTAGCTGTTGGTAATTGTAAGTCCAAAGCTGAGTTGGCCATTCCAGTTAGACTCAGCAGGGCAGACTCCATAAACGTGGCCCCAGGATCCCTTTGTGTCTGGGATATCTACTTAAAGCTGAGCTCTTGGGTGCAGGGGTGACCTGGCAGTGCCCTCCCGCCACCCCAGGGGCTTGGCACATACCAGCACATTAACAGTGCAGCTCATCCGGTTTTCCTTGCTCTCATCATGCATGATGATGGTTCTGTAGTCCAGGAGATTCTCTAAGAGGCTGCTGACCAGGAGCGCAAACACTTCTCCAGAGCTGGAGAGGTATTTATGTTTCCGGCAATGTTCTAGGAGCCTAGAGAGGTGGAGGTAGAGACAAATACCCACGTCTCACACGTCATTCCAGCACCACTGATGAGCACTGTCCAAGGTGCTAGCAGCAGGTGGTGAGGAGACAGGCACCCTTCACTCAACACAGTTACCCAAGTTTAATGTTTCCTCTGGAGCTTTAGCTCAAGTCCCACCGTCACCTCATCACCTAGAAGCCCAGACCACAATGCCCTTCTTTGAATTTGTATTTGTAATTTTTTTTTTGGTAAACATGACAGAAACTGGAACCTTTGCCCAAAGGTTTGTGTATGCATGATAGGAGAGTAGATCACTCTACTCAGGTTGAAAGGCATAATCTTTTCTATGTTTTTATTCTCCCTAAAGCCTAGCACTTTAGGGCATCTGGGGGGCATTCTGGAAAGCCTTGCATCGACACCGTGCCTGGAGGAGCCTAGGAATCCAGTGTACATCTAGACGTGTGGCTCTTCAGATAAAAGTGGTTATTTTCAGGGGGGAAAATGCAGAATTGTAAATAAGACTGACGCTAAAGTTTTGGTCTAAATTCTCTTTCTTTGGATCCAAATACAACAAAGCTTCAATAGGGGCTTCTAAGATTAGACAATTAGAAGAAAAGCAGGTTAATAAGGAGAGAGAGAGAGAGAAAGAAATGGGTTCAAAGAATTAGTCCAGACTCTATAGAGTTATTCTCAGGCACCAAAGGTTTGTGCCTCATATTTTTCTGAGTTAGTAATCCAGGAAGAAAGAAGAAAACAAAATAAGATCTTTATGTGAAAAATCAGCTATAGGATTTAAAACAATGAGTCGTTTATCACTTGTAAATATTGTGTATGTTTGTATGTGTGGGCAATTTCTCCATTAATGCCTATATGAGATCAGAATTGCAAAAGTGATAAATTGGGACGTTTGAAGCCTGTTTGCACAGGCAGACTTAATGGAGACAGGATAAAAAGATCAACTGTTTTATCATCCATTAAAAATAAGAAAGACATCTGGTTCTTTAAAATACAGATGAGTTATCAATTCATCGCTGAGTACCCACTGTGCTGGTTCCTTAAAAAGAAAGAAAGAAAGAAAGAAAGAAAAACAAAGTGGGGAGCCCTATCCTCAAGCATGCTCTAGGGCATACCACTCCCTCAAAACAGGCGCATCATGAAATGATCCCGGCACACCCCAATCAACAGGTGACACAGTTGGTCCATATCATAAAAGCTCAGAGAACACAGAAAGGTGAACAGTCTAAAGTAGTTACAGCCCTGGATGATGGGATGATTTGAAGATAATAATAACAACAGTAAGCAGCACAAACACCAAAGTAGCCGACATTTATTCGGCATCAACTCTGTTACAGACACTATGAAAATGCATCACCTTAATTCATCCTCACGATAATACCAAAATATAGATCCTATTATTATAGATGAAAAAAAAATGAGGTGTTGGATAAATTAAGTCATTTGTCTGAAGTCAAACTCCTCGAATGTGGAGAAGACAGGATTTGAAGCTCAATCTCTACTTCCAACATGCAAGTGTTTTCAACCAGTCTTTTTCTAATTCCATGTGTGCAAAGAAAAACTGAGAGGGCCAGGGCATGATGGATGGGGGTCTGTGGGTGTGTGGGGGGTGTAGGGGTGGTAACATCACAGAGAGGGAATGAATGGTAGCTGAGGCGTGGGCAGAGGGAGGGCTGTGAAAAGACCAACCTGGCATTCTTAGTGGTCATTTAGAGGGCATACGATATTTTAAAATGTAAAGTGGACCTTGAAATGCTTTTTGCTTTATCCTTTAAATTATTGCTTCGAAGCCATAATTAGAGGTGCTAGCACTTTGGGTGAAGGTCATCAATTTAAACACTGGGCAAAATGCCACTGCTTTGTATATCTCTCCCTCCCTCCAGCCAGTCTGTTCTCGGTGGCTGGGGTGGCCAGGAAAACATGGACATTTGACTCACATCAGATAAACAGATGTCAGCAGTGGATGGTGTAAACTCCACTGGCCCCACTGACAACCATTCGTGGTGGTGACCCCAGTGATTCTGTGGCTACCCAATGGGTCTTTAAGAGCAGCAGGAGCCTGTTTTTCTCCATCACTAAATGATGCCATCAACTTGAGGTTCTGTTTCTGAAATACTCACAGTTTTTCCAGAAGGACCTTGTACTGCTCATCTCCTCTGCCCCCTTCTACTTCTTGGTCCAGCTTTGTGATCAACTCATTCTCAAACTGAAAGCAGAGTCAGAGTTTCACAGAACGGCATATCCTTAGACGAGGATATGAGAGACATGCGGCCAACCTTTCCAGATTTGGCCTAACCCCTTTAATTAAAATGTGAATTATATTCAACATTTATCGAGGAAGATCACACTTCATATCATCTATTAATAGCGTACAGAGGACTTGTCAAAGCTTTCTAAAGCAGTCTCATGTTACTTTGTTCTTTGCTTGCAGAAAAAAAAATTATCCAAAACATTATTTTCTTATGACAACTACGCATATAAAGCAGCTTCATGATTGTAATTTTCTATTTTATGTTTGGTTCTTGTCTAAGTCTTGGCAATGGGATTGCTTTATTTCTGATTTTGCAGAGCTTCATAGCTTCAAAAATTCAATATGAATATACTATATAGATAAAGAAAGTGAAACAGAATAAACATTAACAGGCAAATGGGGGCCTCTAAACTAGAGATCTCAGTATCATTCCCTCGACCCACTGTCTGATTCTCTAGGCTATGTTGCAATAGATAGAATTCAAATGCATAAAGTCAAATTTCAATTATCCAGACAGAGAAGGCTGCTCTAGGAAAAACATGTAGCATAAAGATTGCTTCTTGGCCCTGGAATGAAATATCTGCTTCTATCTCTAACTGCTTTACAAAATGAAACGTAATAAAAATGTTTTTAGATCAACTTTGATTTGTATAATTCAGGCTAAGGTTTCTCTATATAGAAAGAAAATAAATAAGAACTGACTATGTGGGCATTAGTAAGATTATAGGTCTACAAGCTCTTACCATATGGAAATTGCCATTTCCACTGAAATTGAGCTCACACTGCATCATATCAAAGAAAATGGGGATGGTGGCTTTCCGAAGCTCTATTTCAGGGGTCAATGTGACCTCCAGAATGGGACCCACCATGGATGGGATGAATTTGATTTTGTGGGGACCTGAAATGAAAGTAAGAAAGGTATTACAAAATAATTTTGCTGGAAGTCAAGGGTTACAATTTTCCTCCACAGGGGCTATAAGAAAAGAAAATGTTGATGTGGGTAAATCAACTCAATTCAGAAGCAAGTGGCTAAATATTATATTTTGATAATATGTGGATGTCACCAACAAGAGACCCACAAGTCAACGTTCACATCTAGACACACAGAAAATTAAATCTCAGGGTTCCTGGAATTAAAATGAAAAAGAATTCCTCATGGGAGGCTTATCACACAGGAGTTGTGTGTGGGCTTGTTCAAGGTCATATACTCACCCAGGTTATACCACATGTCCCGGATCCGAAAGCCGATTTCCTTTCTCATGTCCCCGTATCTAGGAAGAAGATCATAAACCAAGAGAAAGATTTGCAGCGGGAACGAGTACATATAATAAAATGACATGGAAAATAAAAACAGCCTGAGTTCCTCTAGGTCACATTTAAGACAGGTTTTGAGGCAGGGTCACTTGAAGAGGTAAGGTCAATAACTAAACAAGCCCCCAAAGAGAATGGACCCCACAGGGGAGAGGGAATTGCAACGGCAGGAGGCAGGCCAAGTGCAAATGCTGAAGAATAACTGAGAACATCAGACTGACAGGCTCATGGAAGGGAGAAGAGTGAGAAACACTCTGCTATTGTTAAGCAAACAAACAAAACAAAGACTATTGAAAAGGATGATAAATGGGGTATGATTTATATAATAATGTGACTGATGTCTAACAAACATGCTGACTTTATATACTTATATTTGAATAGCCCATATCCATACCACATTAGGGAGCTTGGGACATACCTTCTCAATGAGAGGGTGGGAATACCGTCCCCAAAAGGGTGAAAAATTGGTCCTAGGTAGCCAAAAATAAAAGCTTTTGTTTTTCTGTATAAAGTACCGATATACATAAACAGAAATGTCAGTGGTACTAATATTTCATAGGGGTGTGATGAGAAAAGCAATTTCTCAAAAGTTTCCTTATAAGAGTTGATAACGAAAAAAGAAAAGTTGAGAAACATTGATAGTGGTCCTTGGGTGGAGGTGAATACGAATGATCTGGAAATCTCTTAAAGAATACCTATGCCTGGGGTTACCCCACACCACATGCCAGATCAGAGGCCGGAGCTTGGAAAAGTGGAACTTCAGTGGGTCACAGCAGATAGTGCAAATGTTTTCAGGGAACTCTAATATGGACCTACAACCTACTCTACAACCAGCGTTCTACATTTTCCATTCATGCTACAATTGTACCGAACATGCTTTTTGTTGTTGTTTTTTTTAATTCCTCCTTTGGAAATGCCTTCAGATGCTAGTATAAAAATCATATTTAAATTTTTCTCTTACTATTCCATTTTAACAAAAAATGCTAATCTAATTTTATTATTAATATTACTAAGCCTCTATGGTCAATGTCTGGCACATAGTAGACAATAACTATTCCTGTTGATTATTAATACTACCGTTGATGCTACTTCTACTAAAAATAAGAGAAATCTTGAAAAAAAAAGTGCATTCACATTTCTATAAGCTTAATATATATAAATGTTATTTCCCAAGGTTTATGTCTGCCCTCATGCATGTATATATTTTTACATGGATTATATTAATACTTAGTCACACTTTACTTTGAAAAAAACCAGAATCATTAATCCTAATTAGCCACTTTATCTATCAGACTTGGTGTTAACTAACTTCACTTATGGTGTTCAACCCAAATTAAATCTGTCCTTGAAAGAAATTATGTCATTTAAGATCATCTAAAGAGTGAGATTAAGGTTTCCATCTTAAAAATCAATTACCTTTTGATGCCCACCCCACAAAGAAATCTACAATACAGATTTTACCTTTGTCTTCGAAAACACAATCACTACATTGCAATCTCTTAGCCACCAATCTCAGTGTTTTGGAGAGGAACCAGAGAGAAAGGGATGTTCGGTAATTTGCCTAGAATCCAAGACATCCCAGCAAGGGCAATACAATTAAAATTTCACCACCGTTGGATGATAAATTTCTCAAGTTCTTTTTACTCACACAGGCTTGGAGTTTTCAGGCCCTCAATGAACTCTAAAACAGACCTGAGATGAAAGCAATGAAAAGCTTCCCTACATCCCTCATCACTCTTGCCTATTAGTCCACTTTAAATTCCGAGCCAGGATTCTGGAAGGCATGTTTTGGTGATGTGTTAGATGTGGCTTCTCTGTTGAACACTGAGAGGTACAGCAACGGTGCCAAAGGAGCCTGCTTTGGGCAGCACGAGTGAGAAGGAGGCGCTGTGCCTACAGTTTGGACAAGCTGCCAACAGAGGGGCAGCTGTTCTCAGAGATGGGAGGACTGGCCTCTCCACCTACAGATTCTATAAAAAAAGAAATGAGGTGGGTGATGGGGCCTTGAGAAAAGAGAGAGGAATCGGGGAAAATTTGAGGTCTATTACGTAATTGTAAGACCCATCGCACTAAGAACACGGTAGCCAGTGAACAGTAATTTTGAAGATACCCCAAATCCTGCACTGAATAGAAATGGAAAAATCACCTACCCAATCTTTAACAAGTTGAAGAGGACACTTACTTTTTTACAATTTTGGTGCGTTTGGCTTGTGAGAAGGTTTCAAGCTGAAGGGACTCGTGGGTGAGAAATGCTACTGCCAAATGAAAGTAATTGTTCCAGAGCTGTTCAAAAATAATCGTGTGGGTGAAAAGAAATGGAAAATAACATTAATAAGAGTCAGTAAAACAGGGCCACATGGTAAAGTCACTTGCCAGAGATTAAGGAAAAAACAACATAAAATCCACAAGACTTCTTTTTCTTTCTTGAGTTTCAATTATTCAGCCTTGAAAGTTTTAGCACTTAATATTAATCTTAAGCTTTAAAAATAATCTAAATTATTGTTTGTCTTTACTCCTGGGATAAAGGCAGACTGCTGCCAAGAAGTGTACTTATTTATAGCAAGTAGTTTGGCAATATGTACCAAAAGTCCTAAAATTCTGCCAAACTTTTGAACCAGTGACTATTTCAGGTCTTTATCCTGGCAAAATAAATCACGGGTATTTAAAAATATTTAAAACAAGCAAGGCCCTCACAGTGCTACTTAACCTAACAGAAAATGGAAACAAACTAAATGTTCATAAGAATTTAGGTAAATAAACCATGGCCCAGCCATACAACGGACTGTATTCAGTCATTAAAAATACTGTGAAACTATTAAATATCATTGAGAAGATCACAGCAAAAGTTAATAAAGTAGACTAAGAGGTTACCAAAGAAATGCACAAATCGATTCCATTTTGGTTACACCAATATACATATGTATATACATATATATATACACATTTGTACATACGCACATTTATACGTATATGCATATGCATATATAATCTCCTCTACTTATGACTCTCCACTTTTAAAGTTCTACAGCTACAAACAAAAGCACATCATGTACGCCGGAACATAAGCTCCCTGACAGCAGGAACTTGGTCTGCCTTCACCAGGCCTGTGCATATAAATACTCTAATATTTGGGGAATGAAAGAATGAATGGAGATAGAGCTACTGGTCAGCTGTTTGGTTATGACTTTGGACTTTCAAGCAAGTGTATATGACCTGCATTTTAGAAACTAAGCCATTTGCAGGTAGAGGAATTTCTGTGTGCCTGTCTGCAAGCACATGTGTGTAGGTTATTTGAGTTATGTTAACAGAGGAAAGGAGGACAATTTCTCTTTCAATTTTCTTCTTTTTTTTTTTTTACTTACATTTTCTACTATTCTTTTAACATTTTTTTCTTTTTTACATGTATGAATTCTACAGAAAGAAGAAAAAACCTTCTTTTACTGTGTTTGGAGGACAGAGTGATGAAACTGTGTGCTTTGTGAAAGGAGAAAAGACAAGAAAACTTTTTTTCCATTTAAAAATGATGAAATCTGTTTTCCAAAATGAACGAGTTCTCTTGCTTTGGCTGAGAATTCAAGGAACTCCTAGGTGAGAAGCATGCTTACCTGAAGTTCAAAGCTTGTCTGATCCATGAAGCACCTTGTGAGAACCTCAGCAAACTGATTTATAGCACGGAGGAAAACCCTGGGGGAGGGAAAGACTGGATAAAGAAGGCAACTTCATGCTCATTGAAACTTCCCATCTAGGTTAAAATCCAATGCAAACCAAACCTGGACCTGGCAGCATATGACCTTTATACCTATCAAGGTCCTTAGAGACCAACGACAGAGCAGTCTGCAGAGGACACTGAAAGTCAGGTCAGTTTCTAGAACTGACTACAAGTACCACACAAGGCGGCACCACAATTTAGCCCATTGAAGGTAGCGCTGAGATGACAAGCCAGGTCTCCTGAGCCTCTCAGACAAGGGCTCTTTGTACTCTACCAGGATGCTGCTATTTTAAAGTCTAGGATTCCTGATGTGAATTTTTTTCTCTAATCTGTACATAGCTGGGAAGGGTTTTTCTAATAATGACTACGTAGAGTTAATAATACTTAAAATAATGATTTATTTTATTTAGCTCTTTAAAAAATTCTGAGGCTCTTTTAACATATGTATTTGGTTCATTTCACTTCTGTTCAAGTATTTGCTATGAGCCAGCCAACTACAAAGCACTGGCATAGGTTTTGCCTTGAAAGAGACGGTTCCTGGTCTTAGGAAGTTCACAACTTGGTGGGGGTCATTTGCAACCTGTACATCTAAGCACGACCCAACAAAGAATATGGAAAATTCTATGAGGGGCTATCAAAGAGGGATGGGAAATCAAAGGACGGCCTCCGAGAAGGCCCCTTAACGAACGAGTGGCATGGTGACGGCCAGGGGTGGGGGCGAAGGCACTGCAGGTGGAGGAGGCAGCGTGAGGGAAAACACACAACATGGTCAGGGACCAGGAAGAGGACAGTTTGGTTGGAGCGCAGGTTGTACATAGAGGGAAATAGTGGAAGATAAAGCTAGAAAGGCAGGGGGGACCAGGCTGCAGAGGCCTTGACTATCAGAATGATGAAGGCCATATGGAGCCTCTGAAAGATGCCACAGAGAGCTGATGGGGACAGTTCCTATGAAACTGGCGAGGAGACTAGAGTGGAGAGAAGGGAGCCGAGAGCCTGAGCTGGAGCAACTGCAGTAGGCCAGGTGAGAGGAAGAACATGAGCTAGGATGCTGGAAGCAGGAGGATCTGAGCAAAGGATTTAACAGCCAGAGAGCTACTGACCAGACATGAGTACAGTGACCCTTGAATGCAGGGGTTAAGGGTGCGGAGCCCCTACACAGTCAAAACCTTGCATATCACTTTTGACTGTCCCAAAACTTAACTACAGTCAGCCCTTTGTATCCCTGGGTTTTGCATCTGTGAATTCAACCAACTGTGGATCAAAAACAGTATTTGTGATCCAAATTTGGGAATCCACAGATACAGATGGCTGACTGTACTAATAGGCTACTGTTCACTGGAAGCCTTACTGGTAACACAAAAACAGTTGATCAACTCACATTTTGAATGTTTATGTATTATAGATTGTATTCTTACAATTAAGTAAGCTAGAGAAGAGAAAACATTAAGAAAATCATTAGGAAGAGAAACTACATTTAGTATATTTATTGAAAAAAATCTGCATCTATGGGACCTGTGCAGTTCAAGCCCATGTTGCTCAAGGGTCAGCTGTATTCAGGGTCAAGTGCTTCGGGGCCTGCCACAGGCAGTCTTACCTGCTCTGAGTCATATTCATGACCATCCAGTCTCTGGCGTACACATACTTTCCAATCAGATCCTTAAACATGATAAAAGTTTCCATGAGGAAGTCCTGCAGAGAACAAAGGAGGAATGGCTGGAGAAAAACTGGGTGACATTTCATAAGCCTTTCCCCCCGCATGAGGACAAAAAGGAGCACAACTTTAGAACATAACAGCAGCCTAGTCCCAGAACAGCAGCCTAGCTTTTTAAAATGGTTTCAGGGAAAACAAAGCATTTTTAGAGCTATCGTACAATTGGAATTTTACAACATATACTCTGATGAGGAACACAGAATAAAAATATTGTCCACAATTTTACAAATGATAAAACTGAGGCTGTGAAAAATTAAACAGCTTGCTTAAGATCCTAGAAACTAGGAAGCAGAACTACGAAGAAAACTTTGGGCTCTGGACCCCAAGTTTAGAGCCGTATCTTTAGTCTTCTGCTGTCCAGTGTTGTCTGAATTGATCTACTTAAAGTGAATTCACCAACAATTGTGAGAAAACTGACACTTCTAAGAACTCTTGAGTCCAATTCTTCTTCATTACTGTTAGAACAGAACAAAAATGCTATAAAGAAGAAGCCAAGTCATGATTCTCCCTATTCCAGGAACAAAACCATTTGTACCCTAAATGGTCCTTAAAAAGAGATTACAGCAGTGAATCATGACTGTAACAACTAATAACGAAAGTCCAGTATTGGAAAAACAGCTATTCTATTTAAGAGGGACTATGAGCAAAACAGAACTCAGAAATAGAAAAATCAGACTAAAATATCAAAGTCAGAAAGTTTTTAAAGTTTTCTTATTTATTAGTTAGTTAAATTTAGACATTTTCCACTTGGATTCCTGAAATGAAAAGCCAGTCCAATTTCTTGAGCACTCAACTGCACGGTTCATAAGAAGGATACCATCGAGCGGGAGGAATGCTATACTTGAGAGGCTGGAGGTCTGGGTTCTATTTCTAATGCTATTCCTTCGAGACACAGCGCAAGTCAGTCAACTTTCTGCACTTAGGGTGCCAAACAGCACAGGAATGGGAGGACTTGGGCTCTGAAGTCCACACCTGCCCTTGACTCTTCCTGCTGGTTAAATGGAGTGTCAGGCTTTTCTATCCTCAATTCTGAAACCACAGACATCGTTTGTGAGTTTTCAAATTTTTCATCATGCATCTGTGAAGTGCGCTCACCAATGGATTTCCGATTCTACTCACTTTTTCTCTCCAGTCACCAAGAATTCATGGTTTGTGAGGCAAGGGTTAAATAACAGATACCAATTATCTATCCACTTCTGAGGCTGACTCTATATCCAACGCATGGGAACCTAAGTTTACTGTAAACAGTGATGGCATAAGAAAGGCAATTCACAGGGCCGGCCAAGTGGCGCGTTGGTTAAGAGCTGGCTTGGGACACCAGAGGACCCCGGTTCGGATGCCACATATGAGGGCCAGTGACACTGCCCTCCACAGCTAAGATGCTGAACAACAGCTCAACCTGGAGCTGGGCTGCCATGAGCCGTTGGGACAGCGTAAGCTGCAGCCCCTGCTGCAGTGGGTTGCCATGGGCTACCGTGTGTAGCCAGCAGCCAGTGTGAGCGGCCAGCAGCCGCAGTGAGCGGCCGTCCAGAAGCCGGCGACTGATCTGCCTCGCCCGGGAAGAGCGCAATGATGGTGCCAACTTGGGCCAGTGAAGCAACGTCCTCCACAACTAGACTGAAGAACAAAAGGACAGCAACTTGTCTGTTCCCCACCCCTGATTCCCAACACTGTTCCCTCCCCCAATTCCCCAATAAAATCTTAAAAAAAAAACCCGGCAATTCACAGATAATCCCAGGCCTCATTTTCTACCACTTCCCGAAGTCTTTCCAGAGGGCTCTTCAGAAGGCAGCATGAAAGCGTGACAGGCCAATCCACCGAGAGTCAAAAGGCCGACTGTACACTCCGATTCTGCTGCTGATCACTTCAGCCCCCTCACTGGGATAATAGTCCTTTTTAATTAGATACTACAGGTGGAAGAGCTCACCATTGTTCTGGAAAACAGGAGTTAAACCTGTTCTTTTGCTTACTTAACAGAGCCAAATTGTCAGGAGACTGAATTTAGAATAACTTTGGTTTTTATACCTGCTTGCTAAAAGAAATTAAAAAAATAATCACGAAACTATTTTTACATTAATTTGATCTTATATGACAATATAATAAAGTTATTATTATAAATAGCTAGTCTTCATAGGCATTAACTACATGCCAAGTACAAAGTTAGGCATTTTCTGTCCGTCGATTCAATCACTGTCCATTCATATTAACCCTCAAGGTAGGTACTATCTTACAGGTGAGGAAGCTGAGGTTTAGTGAGGTTAAATACCTTGCCAAAATTTCACAGAAGGGGGTGAAAGAGCCAGAATTTCAACCCAGATCTAGGTGTTCAAAATCCTGTGTTCTTAAACCCACTACACCATCCGCCTACCTTAAGCCTCTCTCTCTCCCTCCTGTCTTCTCTTCATGCTTCTCTCGCAAGGGTCTCTGCAGGCACACCCCCCTAGTGCTATGGGTTCCTGTGTCACGCTGCCTGTCAGAGCATGGCCTCAGTGCGGCCCAGGTCGACCTCCAGATTAAGCCACATAGTCCACTACAGCATTTTGAGAGTTCATCCATGGACCAAGTACAAGCACTGCTACTACGAATAGTAATACCAACAAACAGCACTTTCTCTCCAATTCCTTGTGCGTTTTCCCACCACAGGACCTCCTACAAAAGAGGGCGACTGGTAGGAAAGGAGCTGGATATCTTTGGGTGTACTGGCCATAGACAATCAGTATAATATGGGCAGAAAGTAGAAAATCTAGAGCATAAAGATGATTGAAATATGCACGGATGATGGGAAGTTACGGGGAGCAAAGACTGGTGCAACACGGCATCGAATTGCTCCTCCAGCTCCATGTCCAGCCCATTGCTTTACAAGATAAGATGATACCTTCAATGATGTTTTAACAGTCACTAAACATTTCCTCAAGGGAAGGGTCCTGGGGAGCAGCCAGAGGCCTAACTTAGCCTCTCAGGCAACCTTCAGTTGTAGGCTTACTGGTAATGCTGAGAACGATTTTCTTCTTTAAAACAAAGGAGAATTGAATATTTTCAACTGAAGATAACTTGCAAACATTATAAGGGGCAGGTGTCATCTGTTCTTGTTGCCCTTTCCAAGGAATACTGAAAACGATGACTTCCACCGTATCTTAGAAGAGTTTGCATACCTCTGCCTCCAAATCCTTGCCATGGTATGAGTAACTATAGTCCTAGGAAATGAGACACTATCTGCTTCTGAGAGCAAAAAGGATTTCCCAGCTGCTTGTATTAAACAAAGGATCTCCACATCCAAGAGACTCAGGGGCCTGAGTGAGGACCTCTTGGTATACATATTGTCCTCTTTTTCTAATCTTATCCCAGAAGGAAAGTAAGAATCAAAGCAACACTTTCCCTTTCATCGTCATTGTGGACCGCCACACGGCACTGGAGGTGGATGGGGGGAGACCCCTGGACTCAAGATGCTGTTTCGGTTATTGTTGTTTTGCTGAATATCATAATTCGTAAGGTTATCAGAATCCAATGAAAACAACTTACCATGATGTCTTGCTTGGTTTTGAAAGTGCTGATATAGTGGACGTAGTGGCTGTCATCCATTTGCCGAAGGATGGCGATCATGCAGGCAACAAAACTCCCCTGAAGGAGAAAAAAAAACAACCCCACAAATCCCTTAGACCAACCGACAAAACAAAATTTGGGCGCGCGTACTATGGTTTTTCCCCACCCGGTTACCTAAGTAGGGATCACCCCAAACTGGAAACAAGTAGCATCCCCAAGGTTCAAAGGGCACAGGCTTTGCTGTTTCTACTGAAAAGGACCTCCTTTCAAGTGTGAGTTAAGGGTTGTGGAGGGAGGGTGTCCCTCATCCCAGGAACAGCTAAGGTTTGTGCAATCCTGTAGGTCAAGGCACACCGACTTCAAGGTCTCAGTTAAGATTACTAGTGAAGCTGAAACTTATGGACTTTGAGTTTCTTGTTGAGACAGAGTTGTAGGGTGGAAGAAAGAAGTCCATGGAGAAATGTCTGAAATATTCAGATCATTTGAGCAAATCTGAGTTTGGAGCAATGCAAGCAGGAGAAAGAGAAGTAGTGAAACTGAGAGTGGAGGAGAGGAAAAGAGGATAGCAAATGAGAATTCCCTGGGAGAACACTTCAATGTCATTTCTCCAAGTCTAGAAGTCTTTAGCCAGTTGTTTCCAGCATGTTACGCCCGTGTAACTGTGGACCTGGTTTGCAAAAAGGGATTGAATAATTAGATAATTAACATAATTTCTAGTTTTGAGGTCAGGAATTACACAGTCAATGTGCATTCCCCTAGTCCAGCCATATTTAAATCATAGACTTAATATTCTAGCCAGAGGGCAAATATCTAGGAGTAAATATCCCCCTGTATTCATAGTTACGAAAACAATACCAATTTAAATTAATTTGGCACAGAGGAGATGAATATACAGCTATTCTTGGGATGGAGAGAATGACTATCTAAACACAACAATAATGAAAGACTATACAGGTACATCTCCCTCTAAACGAATGTCTGTCTTAGTCTCTTTTGATTAAAATAATTTATGTTTCTAATTATAAAGCAACATAAATTTATTGTTTATGCATACATACATACACATATTGGGTTGTCGGAAAAGTCATGATATATTTTTTCTATGTTTTAATTGCAAAAATGCATCATGACTTTTCCGACAACCCAATATATGTATATGTGTGTGTATGTGTGTATGTGTATATATATATTGTGTGTGTGTGTGTGTGTGTATACGCGCGCGCGCATATTTCTCTTTGTGACTGTGTCTTTGTGTCTTTGTATGTCTTGCCCTCACTTTTTCCTTCTTATGTTTATCTTTCTCAAGCAGTCTCCCTGTGCTCTCTTGGTATGTTTATCATTCCATGTATCTCAGTCACTTCCACACCCATCACCTTGTTTTAACAGAAACAGAGCAGGGGTATTGCCACTTTCACATTCAAATCCTCACCCTTCTTTTCAAACATTCTAAGCCAATGTTCTTGAGTTAGTTTAAACAAGACAGATAATGAATAATTTCACTATAAAAGAAGCTGAGCAGGTAAATTTAAATGAAGACATCTTAAGAATTATCTGTAAGCCAATACATCACTTCCTAAATGACATAGTTATCAATCTGCCTTTCTTTATATATTCTCTACATACATGGCAGAGATGGCTTGGCAATAGTAATTAATGTCCGGTATGGATACCTTTAATACAAGATGTGAATCCTTTTATAGTATCTTTTGGATCAGCTTGAGTTTTGATCTGGCAGAAAGATGACGTTTGACTTGTAGTCATTTCTCTATATACTTATTTGGATCTGCTCCGTTACTCATATGTGAATCTTATGATGGAGCTCTTAGTTTCTGCCTCTGCCTAGCAGGCCCTTCCCCACACATCCACATGGCCATCTCTCACCTTTGTCAAGTCTTTGTTCAAATTTTACCTTCTCAGGAAAAGCATTCTTTATTATTATTTTTTTTAATTGGGTAAGTGTGTTTTTTTCCAGGACCCATCAGCTCCAAGTCAAGTCGTTCTCCTTCAATCTAGTTGCGGAGAGCAGCCCACTGGCCCACGTGGCAATTGAACTGGTAACTTTGTTGTTCAGAGCATATGCTCTAACCAACTGAGCTACCTGGCCGCCCCCAGGAAAACCATTCTTAACCACCTTGTTTAAATTTGAACTCTCCCACCCTGGTTTCCCTTATCTTGCCCATTTTTATCTCCATAGCACTTATCTCCTTCTAAGACTACGTACTTTATTTTTATTGTTTTATTAATAGAATGTAAACTTCGCTAAGGCAGAGATTTTCATCTGTTTTGTCCCCTAATATGTCTCCAGTGTCTAGAATAGTGCTTGGCTTACAGTAGTTTCTCAATGCATATTTGTTGAATAAATACATTTTTAAAAATTTACTATAGCAATCTGAGGTAGTTCTTTTCCTACATCTGGTAATTAAAATCTAATTGTATGTTTTAATATCACAAGTAAAAGGTGCTTCCTTTCCAGGATGATATAACTTGGCTTTCAACAGCTACCTGTGGTCTCAATCATACTTTTCATCTGACATCTAATAGACATAGAAGATAGAGAATAAGAGGCCAGAGCAACGCAGGTATTTGTAAAAGCATGTTAATTACAAGTTCTTTAAAACGTTTTTTTGTCTTCGAACTAAAATGGCTGGATGGCACCACAGGGCACCAATCTATAAGCATGTAAAACATCTGTGGAAATATGATGCAATGGGGAAAAATTGAATTGATCAAAATTCCTCTCATGGCAACTAGCGGACACAGTTGGAAACATAAGTGAGTAGAAGCTGCTTGGGGGCGGGGTTGGTTGACGACATGCGTGTGCTCTGCAGCCACGTGGGCTGCGTGGGTCCAAACCCCAATTCAGCTCTCTGGTAGGTGTGTAACTTCAGCAGGTGTCTTAACCTCTCTCGGCACATTTCCTTATTGAAAAAAATGGAGCTCATGAAAGGACTACCTGATAGGATCAGTGTGCGCTTTCAATGAAATATAAAGTGCTTAAAATAGTTCCTGGCACACACACACACACAAATCAGATAATGGTTACTACTGTTACCACCACTACAGCTGGAAATACTATTATTATTGTTCTAACGAGGGTAGATTCAGACAGAGTGTGCAGGTATTGAGAATCAGAACTAAATTACTTGAGATAATAGAGGAAATGCTGAAGATAGCCACCAAACCCCTCATTTTCTGCTCACTGAGGTTCGAATTCTCCTTAAATAAAATATTAAACAAATAGTTAGAGAGTAATAGGTTGATTGGGTATCGAGTTATCAGTCTACTAGGGTGCCTGCATGTCGCACTGGGTCTCTGCTTGACTGTATTATAACAGGCTTTTGTTTGATCTTCAATGTGTGCAAGATTCCTCAAGAATGGATTCACACGCCTAAAATGTACGGAATCCTTAAGAACACTCCCCCGTTAGCCTCCCCTATCATTCTGTTGGATCTTCTCCCCTCAAGAGAAAATCAGTATCAGAACTAAGATCTGTTCACGGTTATAAGCAAAGGTCACCCATCCGGGAGGTTGTCAAGTTCTAGACCCCACTCGCTTCCGAGGGAGCTATGCTGCATGGTGTGCAGGCACAGAATGTCCACTGTGATGCAATGAGCCCATGGGATGGGAGTATGGTCCCCAAAGCCTCCCAGGAGGCAGACGGGACAGCAGGTCCCCCGTAGCGATACTCACGATGTGGGGAGACTCTCGGCTCATCTTGATCACGGTCCGGTTGATCCTTCTCAGCAGCCGCTCCATCACCTGCCGTATGTGATCTGCCGTGGGACCCTGCAAGGGAAACACAGAGATGGGCACCCCTTCTTCTGACTCAGCTCTCCTTTTCTTCATGTAACCGCAGACAGATGCGTTTTCTCTTGAAATCTCATTCTGGCTCTTCCCCACAAAACAAGCTCTTGTCCAAAAGGGAAACGTGGTTTCACAGAATAAGACATCATGTTGCTCAGGGATCAGCTGAAAATAGTCCGTGGTACCATTTAAAAGATGAGCATGGGGATGCAGGGGACGAAGGCGGCCCTCCTAGCCCAGATCGCCCGGGCTCACTGAGAGATTGCGGTGGCCACAGGCTCATCATAGTTTTGGGGGGACTCCCGTTAGCATGAGGTAGTCAGTCCTATCGCTGAGCAGGTCAGGTTGCCCAGGGCAATGGGGCACACGCATGGGAAGAGAAAGGCAGTAATACAACGTTCTTACAACCTTCTGTGTAGGAGAAAAAAACAATAAATTCAAGTCAAGGAGATTGTTCTGAACTGTCTGTGTTCAAAATTCATGTGTTGAAGCTCTACCCGCACAGTGATACTATCTGGAGGGGGGGCCTCGGGGAGGTAATGAGGTCACGAAGGCAAGACCCTGGTCTGATGGGATTAGTGTCCCAATAAGAGACACCAGAGAGCGTGTCCTTTCTCTCACTCTGTGCACACACACCCAGGAAAGGCCATGTGTGAGAGCAGAGAGAAGGCAGCCATCTGTGAACTAGGAGGAGGGCTCGTGCCCCGAACCCAGCCACACTGGTGGTCTGACCTTGGACTTCCAGCCTCCAGAACTGTGAGAAATAAATGTCTATTGTTTAAGCCACCCAGTCCACAGTATGCTGCTTTGGCAGGCCGAGCAAACTAACACAGGGATTGAATAGTGTGACTCTGTCATGTGTGACTTTAAGCAATTATTTGACTTTGTTGAACTTCAGTTGTTCATAGCTGCAAAAAAAAAAAGAAAGGAAAAAAAGAAGGTTCCCTTACAGGAACTAGTTGGCCTGATGTACATACACAACAGTGCTTCATAAATGTTTATTTTTTCATCTTTCCTTCTTTCCCTTTTTTGTGGTTTGATGTTATACTCATTCAGCTCCAACATATCAATTATTCTACTTGACTTGTCAAAGCCTTTATCCATTCTTGTTTCATGATAGATAGTCTGAAACTCCCGGCTAAATGCTTCAAATAACTAAACCATTGCTATATGTCGTTTTATTAAAACCTCAAGTACTGTTAGCTTCCCCTCTCCCTCCCTTCTTTCCTTCCTTGCTTTTTATTACTAATTTACTTGCTTCCCACTTCTCTGAATGCAAGTGATTCCTAAAACCTGCCTGTCCTGATGATGCTGCTTTCACTTCCATTTCCGTTAACAATTCCATACTGTACACCTGACCAGGTGCAGATATCATGTGCAGGGCCTTGTGTGGAGGTATGAAAATGAATCAAGCATCCTCGGAGCGCTTAAGAGATTCACCGTCCAGCAGGAGAGCTGGGGCATGAATACAAATGAGCAAAACACAAAGATCCCACGAGAAGGGCAAGGTGCTTGCTTTTTTTGCTCACTGTTGCATTCTTGGACCTATCTCAGTGCCCAGCGCACAGGGGCTGCTCAATCAGTGCTTGTGAACCGCATTTATAACTCAAGGGACAAAACGATGATAACAGCCTTAGAAGAGATGAAAGGAACTAGCAGAGTGTGGGGTTGTGAGCAGGAGTGCACCAGGAACAACTGGTGCTTATCCCAAGTGGGTTTTGAAGAATGAGGACAATTAGGAGACAAAGCTTTGTGAAAACAGGAGAGAATCCTGTACTATAAAAAAAAAATGTTATAGGAATAACTGTCAGTAATTATGGAGCCTGGAATTAACAGAGGAGATGAGAAGATATGGGAAAACATGAAGTTAGCTCGTACATTTAAAAATGCTTATGGGTTAAAAAAACAAATACCATCACCATCACCAAAAAATTATTGCATTTACTACTTTAACAGAGCTCCAAGATCAATAATTTTGAATGCCTCTGCTCATTATAGGGAGCATTACCAGGAAGACAAAAAAAATTTTTTTAAAGCCAGTTAAATCTCCTAGCACAGGATGTACTATATTCAAGTCATTTCTGAAAAGTCCTTCTGTGTAGTAAGAGGGTAGGCAGAGATATTATGTATATAAAAACAGGATTAGAAGGGGAAGAGAGCTATGAGGTCATCCAGAACAGTTCCTATGTGTTACTGGATGAGAAAGTGAGGGATCACGAGATTTCCCTAAGGCTAAAGAGCTACAGAGTGGTAATACCAGGACTAGAGACCAAATAGCCTGATTCCTCTGTTTCCGATTAATTTAGGATCACATACATATACTTTCTAGAACATTGTAGCCCTGATTCAGTCAGAGTGCATTGTTGCCAACTTTATAGAGCTGGGAGCTTCATTTTAGTATTTTAATTACTGAGTCATAAGAGTTACTTTTTAAAAATATTTTTTGTCATTATGACATGATCAATCCCATGTATGTATTCGTTGCAAAGTCCTTGGTTAGGAATCCAAGCCCCAATCACAAAATTGCTTGGGGAAAATTTATTCCATTTTATAATGTGGTTTCTAGAAACACATTTAAGCAAAAAAAGGGGGGGAGGGGCATGAAGATGACTTATAATTAATAAATATAGGTCATTTATCATAAATATAATAAATATAAAATAAATAGTACACATAGTAAGGTGGGCTACCAGGGCTACAGGAAGAGACAAAGGCAGGTCAGGGGGCATAGACAGAGAAATAAATGGTGTCCTTTGGTGCTTCTGTGGTCGACGCACGAAATGCAGACGTGCCTGTGTAATGACAAGCAGGAGATATGGGGGGCTGTGGTCAAACTGGGGTGAACCTTGCAAGCTGATCTACAGATTTAGCTATGAGAAAAGGGACAGTATTTTTCATTATCTGTCAGCACAACTGAATCTAAAGATATTGGTAAGATAAAGGGTATAGGCAAAACTAGGCGTGATCTCCCTACTCTGTGGGAACATTAGTGCCATGCAGACACCGTGGGGGGAGGGCGAGGTGGTGGTGGGACCATGGTTTCTGCTCAACTGAAAACATTCTGCAAAGTTCTCTACCTCTTGAGTGGAGGCTATGCCCTGGGCCTGTGGGCTGTGCTATCTCTAGGACATGGTAAATCCAGGGAGATTCAGTCCCATGTTTGCAGTGGGCATAGGTGCCTAGGTCATAGAGAAGAGGTCAGATGAGAAAATATATAATGTCCACTAGGCTCCGAAGAATCGGTGTCAGAGCGAATATAAAAATGAGAACTTCTAAGAAGCTCAGGAATATCTGCAATAGCGTGTCAGGTACCAGAGGTGATACCGGGTCATGGTTTCTGCATAAGAAGAAAACGTCTAAACAGGGCATTGGTTCTGAGAAGACCTCACAGGGATCTCCATGATGGCCAAGCCAGGAAAATCGGCCAGGAGCAGGCCGGGGCAGTCAGCAGACCTCTCCTGGACCTAGATTTGCAGAGCAGGCTCTAGCAAAGAGAAGCCTCTTGAACCATCTCTAAAATGGGCGCAGCCTGCCCAGGTACCCAGGTTCTGAACTGCCTGGGCCGAGCCCTGAGCCCAGGAGTGCCGTGGAGTTACTGGTGTCCTTTGCAGCAGGGCCAGTGTGTGCTGTGGTCTGCAGCAGTGACAATTCGACTCACCACATCCTTTCTGTCCAGCACTTCCAGGATGTTGCTCAGCAGCTGCGAGCTTGCCTCATGGTCAGGCTTGCTGGAGCTGTCATCTAACTGGCCGCTGAGCTGATCTATCAGTAGCCGCAGGAGCACCTTTCTGCACTCTGAGAGAGAAAACAGCTCACCAACCACACAACCGCCTCCTGAGCTGCCCGCTCCTTCCTGCAAGCCTCTCTCTGCACGCACCCCCCCCCCCAAGTCCCCAGGCCCTGAGCCGCACATGAGTTCAGGCAAGGAACTTCAGCCCTGCAACTTGATTTTTAAAACTAAGAAAATTACGCCTGTCATAAAGGTACTTGTAGCAAAATGTCTGAAGTAGTTAACAATTTCTTCAGCTTAAAAAAAAAGCCAACTTGATACTTGAAAGCAAAGTCATATGAAACTAATCAACGAAGCAAATTGTACACTTAAAACAGTTTTTAATTTTTTCACCTAATGGAGAAAATTTACTCTAAGATGCCTATAGATACTGCGCTTCACTCGTACATTTTGTTGTGTTTCTGCCCATGTTTTCGCAGGCACATGCAGTTCACAAAGTAAAATTGTTATCTTCCTTTTGGGATCTTCACTATCATAAAACATTATTATAATAAGTCCAGATATTCTGGGCACTAACAGAAATGGTTGTTAATAGTGAGAGTACTTCCTCTTTTTGGAGCTATCAAGTGCATGCTTGCTCTTGCGTGCAAACACCTCGTCTTTATCATCTCCTTTTTCCTTGCTGCATCCTTAGAGGCAGAGATTATCACAGCATATTAAGATGTTTAGTAATAATACATTTTCCACTTCAGAGCAGTCACTTGCTTTTTGCACTACTTCCAACTGTGTCCTTGTAACAGTTAAAATTTCTAGGCACCCATTCATAGGGTCAGAAAATGTCAGAGCCAAAAGAGGCTTCGAACTTGATCTACTTCAAGTCGTTCCTTCCACAGAAACAGAAGTCAAGACTTAGAGAAGGTGCTCATGTGTCCAAAGTTACATAACTAGCCAGGGGCAAGGCTGAGAGCGTGCTGCTACCAACAACCCACTCAACTTTCCTATTTTTGAGGAGTTCTGCTGGTTCTCAGACACCCCCAGGCAATATAAATGACATGAGGTGACCCTACGGGACATCCTGACCTGGTGGAAGCTGCAGAAAAAGTTCCCACCGCTGCCCTACTCTAGCCAGTCTCGGGTTTATTGGGGGAAAGACCAGGTATTAGACCTCTTCCTCCATTAGCTTTGGGACAGTGGCACAGTGATGGAGACTTAGCAGCTACATGTTTGACTCTAATTACAAAATGAATAGTATTTTATCAGTATAAGAGTTTTCACCTCTCTATGCTCCCCTCCCCGCAGTAGTATAATAAGTAATCTACGCACTGCCCCCACCCCCAAATCCTCCGATTTACAGTGTTCGCCAGTTTCCGTGGTGTACATGCTACCACCATGGTCAATTTTCAGTCACTCATGTGACTGAGCATGGAGTTGAGAAGAGATGCTCGTAATCGGCTGTCCTGGGCTGATACAGGTAGCATCCAGCACACACGACATCGCTGTCCCCTGTCCCCTGGTTTTTCAGGTTATACTAAGTATAGGTCAAAGAAGACGCCTTTATTAACCAGGAACATCTCTCCTGCTTGTCCATTACTTTCCAGGGTTCCTATTTTGTGGACAAAGCTCTCTAATGAATAATTAAAGATTAAAGAGCACACGAGTTTGCTCTTTTAGGAACTACTGGGAATACTGAACTGACTTCACCTTCTCCTTAAAGCCGGTTTCCCAGGAGGTTCTTAAGTACCAACAAACAACAGGCAAGGACACTGACATTACAAAAAGGGCAAGTGTTGGCTGAACAAGAAGCAAGAGTGGAACTTCAGTAGGTAGCTGTTTTTGGGGGAGACTTACCCGGCTGCTGAAAAAGATTACTCTCTACTATCTTGGTCATGCAGTTAAGTTTCTGGTGAACTAGCTGGTTGTCAGGAATGCTTTGAATGAATTTGCAGAAGAGCTCGCTGGAAGAGACATCCCAGTGGTTAGTGTTTTCGTTCTGCCACATTGCAGGTATCATTACACTACTATTTCCTCTCTGCTCTGAGATCAGGGCGTGCAACAGTTTACCTGAAATCTCTCCCAAACGCCCTGACAGCCTGTCTCTAGGAAGCAAAGGAGAGACTGTATTCCACGCTCACCAAAGGGCTCACCTTTACAGCTGACTGCTTAAACTGCCAAAGCACACCCAGGTCCATCACTGCTTTCCAGACCCGCCTTAACACTCAACTTCTGCAGGCTCTTTTTCTGGCTAACTCCACCCCAGTTCCGATCCGTGTCTTTGCATTCCTGGGGTAGTTAGGTATGGGGCTGGAAGCATATCATTATGTACTTTCTCTGTAGTTAATTTTATGTCTGCCTGTCTTGTTTCCCAGGAGAAAGGGCAAAGCTCTTCAGAAGCTGGCTTTGTGTCTTCTTTTGTGTCTTCTCCCAGAATTGAGCACTATGAGGTGTTTAGCTCATACATGTCAGAAGAATGACAGCATGCACAGCAGCCCAGGCCCCAACCCAGCAGGGAGCTACTTTTCTGTTAAAGTCAAGAAACAATTTTTTTTTTGTTATTTACCTGAGCTCAGCAGGATCAAACACAAGTTTGACATCATTAATTATGCGAGGAAGGTACTTCAAAGCTGCCCCCTGTAAGAAAAACACCAAAGGTGGACTCAGTTGTCAAGCGGGACAAATACAGAATTAACTGCTTGATTCCAGGAAGAAAAGGCTTGGATCTTAAACCAGGAACTGGGCACAGACATTCTCGCAACGAAGAGGAAAGCTGATATCGTAATACGCGATCTCTTAAGATCTTTCTCCTGAAATGTCGGGAGGCACAGCTTTTCATCTTCACTACCGACAGACACTGCCCACTTGGAATTCATTTTTCCATCTAAGGAGGTGGTTAACTTCTTGACGTCTCCCTCACAACGTTGCCATGAAGAACAGAAAATGAATCATAAAGTTCAAATTTGAGTCTCCAGAGATTATGTATTTTACATTTAAAATGGCAGTGATAATGATGAAGAGGGTGGTGACCAGGCTTTTGGGAAGAATGGGAGAACTAAGAATAAAAAAAAAACCTGTGGGCTGAATTCACAGGGACCACAAAAGCCATTCAAGGGGTGTCTCAAAGGGTAGCTTGTCTTTGAAACTGACATTTCAGAATACAAAAGTACATAAAAGTTAAAACATGGGTTTTCCCCTGAACTTTCTGTAAGGCGTGCTAAAATTCACAAGCTTGCCATGAAGTATGATTCACTTTGTTTCTCCCTCACCACCACCAGTTCCATGTTGTCCCAGGACATCGTCACCAACAGCATTAAAAGTTACCCATGATGATGCCAGGCTAACCTTGATCTTGACAGCTTCCTCCAGAGGCCTGTCCATTAGGTTATTAAAAGAGAGAAATAACTTGCGGATTGAATTATTGAATTCATCTCCATCTTCACTTTGGCCATAAAACCTTAATAGGAAACAGAGAAAGGGAGTCAGGCTTTCTACCTTTAAAAAGAAATTTTCAGGTAGATCTAAAGAATGCTAGAGGCCCCTGCCTCACGGGTCACCACTTTGAATCATGCAGAGAAGTCACAGGGTGTTCTAAAATAGTTTCAGGGAGAAGCCCAATAAGCTGAGAAGATAGCACCACCTGGATATTACCAGTAATTTGTATATAACGTCCTACCATAGAGCTCTCCAACTGGTCCACTATTACTAGCCACTTGGGAAGGGTTCCCCTGACGCTACCGGAAGGCCACAGCCTTGTCAATGTCCTCCATGCTAATGGTCTACTGGCATTTCCAGCGTGGAGGGGGAACAGCAGGAAGCTGCTCTGCCTGACCTAGGGGAGGAGCCCTGCCTGCTTGCCCGCCTTCCCCAGCTCATTAGCAGAAACGTCCAATAAGCGAGGACTCAACTGAGCTACCTTCCCTGACACATCACACCTGCCTCATTCTATCCTCCAGCCTCTCTCCCTCTCTCATTCCTCTTTTCTGTGTCACTCTAATCATTTGTCTCATCTAGTCAGCCTCTAATCATTTCAATTGAAGGTTCAGACAATGGGTAGAAAAGCTCGACCCAGAAACATTCTGAACCCAACCCATTCTGCAAGTCCAGTTCGTGTCACTCTACCCATTGAGCTGGCAATGCTGGCGCTGACCTGCCCTATGAGTGGGGCCCTCCCAGGACACAAGACACCTTAGTCTCCACCGATTCGTGTTTGTTTTGTATAAAGAACTGTGCTTGTCTTCAAGATTTGTCCATCAACTGAAAACTTGTTTCTTTCCTCATAAATACGTGTTACTGGACAAATGTGACATTTTCTTCCTTTTTACTTTTTATTCATAGTGACAAATTTCTGTCCTTAAGAATTTATATTCCTATTTTAATCTTTAGCAAGTATATAGGTAAAGATAGTGTGTATTGCATTTTGACAGTGAGTATAAATATTTTTTTAAAATTGAATCAACCATTTGAATTTTTTCTCTTGTAAATATCTGGTTTTGCTTTTCATTGTAAGGATATTCATCATTCTTTTCTTGACTTTTAAGAGCCTTTAATTAACAAAGCTATTAACTTTTGATCTATACTGTATGTTGCAAGCTTTTCGATCAGGTTGTTTGCCTTTAATTTTGTTTATAGCTTTTAAGTATACAAGCCTAAAAAAACCCCCACATGCTCGAACCTACAGACCTTTTCCTTCTGCCTTATAAATATATTTTAACAGTTTAGATATCCAGTTATTGTTGAAGGGCTGGGATGGCACTGGAGTTGTGAGCATTCCCAGAAAAGGCACTTCCTCTCTCATGATTTCTTCTCCTTTTGATGAAGCTGTTCCTCAAGGAATCCAAACTGGGAATTATCCCACCTCTATAGCTTAGTTTCACCAGGTAGTTAATTAAGCATGAGGTCACAAAGAAACACACACCTCAGGAAACACCTCCCAAAATAATTGCCACCATTCTTCCTCTACTACCAACAATAGCTCATGAGCCTAGATCTGGACACCCAACGTTGTCATGAAACCTCTTGCTGTATGAAATACAATCTTACCACAGGAACCTACCTCCCTAGAGCTGTTTGTTGTCATCAACAATGGCTTCTAGGAGGCTGCCCATTTTAGCCACCAGCATCCCTAAGTCCTTCTGTTCTTGCTGCCCTAGAAATTCTGCTGACCCAAAAGGACCTTCTCTAATGGTTTCATAGTCCATCTCCATCTTCAGCCCCATAGTTCTGAACTTTGGCAACTCCATGACCCAAGAGCTCACAGAGCTGAACATGAGCATAAGGACTGAGGAAAATTACATGAAGAGAGAATGGATAGCGTCAGCATCTTACCACAGTGACCATTACCTCAAGTAGAGTACTCTCGATTGGATGATGAATCTAAACAAGTACTTTAAGGCTTTCAAAGCCACAAAAAGCAATTCTGTCTTGCTGGAGTCACCTGCATTAGCCACATAAAAGTTCAGTACCTTGGAGAGTTTCCTTAAAAGGGTGAGAAAGAAACAGAGAGGTCAATGGGGCAAAGTGGTACTCAGAGGTGTGGGGTGTGCTATATAGGCAGGGAATCTGGCGAACAGGGGAAGCAGAAGTCACGGCAATAATTAGCTCCTCTAGAATATGTCCTGAAGAGGGAAATTAACTCTTTTGCAATTTAGCTTCCTCACTGCAGTCTAGATTGGGAGCTTCCTTTCTGCTTAGAAACAGGGGATGGATTCTTTCCCTTTATAGGATTTTAAGAGGATGACGAAATGAAGGAGTTGAAGAGATTCAAATCCTGAAGATATTTTCATCTCTGGTGCATTACAGAGACACCTTTAGATAGTCCTTGTAAGGGAGAGATGGCCTGTCTGAGGTAGTCATCTTAAAAGAAGTCTAATTCCCTCCTATCTGCCCAAACCCTTTGGCATGCATAAATACGAAGCCAGATGTATGGGAGGAGGAGCTCAGTCTGACGAGAACACCCACGGTTCCGAGCTCCCAACAGATCGCCCTGTTCTGAGACTGCACATTCCTCTTTTAGACTTTCCAGAGTCTTCGGACTCGGCACTGTTTTAATTTTATGCTAACTCACACTTTGGGGGGGCGGGCACAGTTTCAACTTTCCTTCTGGGAAATCTCTACGTTTTCTAAGAAAAACCATCAGGAGACACGCAGAACTGACCAAGTCCAGATTACTACCACCTGGAGTGCTGCATCCGGCTGGGCCATGAAGACCCAGACAATGGATTTCCTCACGTGCAGCTACTGCACGCTTGGAAAGTGAGGCTTCTGGGCAGAAAGAGCCCTGTCACTGGTATCTGCTGCTTCCCTCAGTCTAGTGGGTATTACATCCATTGTCTTAGTTGGTGATTATGCTACAGGATACCTCTTTTACATAGCTTACATTTGATTACATTTCTGGACGTTTCATGTAACTAAAACCAAGAGCTTTGTGGTTTAGTTCAGAAAGGGACCAGTGATCTGGTGTGACAGGTCAGGTCAGCAGCTACCCTTATAGATCCGCCAGCAGCCATCAGCATGATCTGGCATAAGCCACTCTCAGAAAGATCCTTGCCAATCGCAACTGCACTCCTTTCACTAGTTACCACATTGCTCTGTGTAAGTGGCTGGAATGCAAAGGGGTGGGGTGACAGGCCCCATACAATGCCACAGTGAGGTGAGCACCCCAGGGAGAAGTGCAGGGTGAAGACGTGGCTTTTCTTAGTCAGGGCTCATATGCCAAAGCCAGGAAGATGCCTGCACTATGAAAAGAGGAGAGACCATTCCTTCTTATGCAAAAGAAAGAAAAATGAAATCTTCTCATATCCTGTAAGTAATAAATGCTACACAGCTCTTGTAGGGTAGGGTTGAGGGCCAGACCTGCTATTCTATCAGACATCGTTTTGCTTAGTTCACCGTCTGATCCCCTTGGGGCCTCACATTCATCTCACTGACCCCCAATTTCAAAGACCCTGAGTATGCTCACCTGTCCTGGCTTCTGCCCCTAGTGGCTTCAACTATATGTTCTGGATTCTTCAAGAAATAGAGCGTTATCTCCTCTATCACTTCCCAGAAGGCAGGGAAACCTCACACCTTTTCCAGAAAGAGACAGCAACCTCTTTCTACCAGGAAGCTTAGAACAGGTTCTGCCCTTCGAGGTGTGTTTACGGAGCTGATGACCCTATTGTTTCTCAACAACCCAGGCCTAAGGGTGAAAATCCAATAACCCACCAACAGGTCGCTCCCTTGAATCATACTTACACATAGGCCAAGGTGGCACTGAAGTGCTTGTTAATGTAGGTTTCCAGGACAGGATTAAAATGCTGGAACTTGATGTCTCCTATCAGTGAAATAATAAATACCTGCCAAAGGAGAAATATATCAATAACAGCACGGTACCAGCCCCAGGCACTGTCAACAAACTAGATTTTAACATCTGGGTGCTGTCTTCTCCTCCCTGACCATGATTGTAGCATTCTCACTTTACTATTCCAGAGTGGGAGTCAAAGTCTTAAGGTTTCTTTTGATTTAACATGATTAGAAAGACTATTATGGGTCAGGCACCATGCTAGGTGCTGTGAGAAACCAATACAAGCCAGCATGCCTGGCCTCCGGGAGCTTACTGTCTCAAAGAGAGGGCAATGCACAAGTAACAGAGGCCAAGGAAGACAGCAGGACAGCAGGGAGGAGGACATGGGCAGGAGTTTCCTGTGGGAAGGATAAACTAAACCAGAGACGCAGCTAATGAAATAGTCCATGACATTTTGCTCCTGAGTGCCGTGTGGGTGACTCCAATAACTGAACTTCACCAGACTTTTGCCTCCCCATTTCCCCCTCAGATCACTACACATAATCCCTTTGGCCCTCTTCATGACGGAAGAGCACAAAAGAAGGGCCAGGTGGTGCTTTCACATATGCCCACTGCCAGCTGCTTTATCCCACAGGAATCTGTCTCCAGTCTGTCCCCCAGAGCTCAGAGCCACAGTCTCTCTTTCCCATAAACCTGACAGGTGTGACCTCAGCTGGAGCCATTTCCTTTCTTGAGCTAACATCCTTACCTTCAACATCCTGGCTACTGCTTGGAATTGGAGTTTAGAATTTCTCCAAGCTGCTGAATGACTAAAGCTACAATTTACCTTCCTCCTTTGCTGCAACATTCAGGTAAAATTTTGCACTGAATCTAAACCCCAACAGTGAGAAAACGATGCTTGGCTTGGATGTGTCAGCTTTTACACTCTGGCCTCCCCAAATCTCTTCTTCTTGTTTAGATTTCCGTTCTTAGAACGGGTTGTATGTTTAAGTATTTTGTATGACAAATTTCACTGTCTCCAAGGTTGCGTGTTGTACGCAATGAGGCTAAGACTCATTTGTGACTTGGAAAGTCAGTCTCCCTTGCGTGAACACACAAGTACACAATGCACAACAAGCGACAAGCATCTTTGTTAATGGTTTCTCCAGGCTTTGTGACTAGACAATTTTAAAGTGAGTTACAGTGACTCCTGATTTCTAATGTAATATAATATAACCTTGCTTTCCCTAATGAGAAAGAGAAAGCACATCAAAATTGAGATCTAACAAGAAGCAGAAAAAAAGAAAGGCTTGGGATATAAATCAAATGTTTCTAATTTAGCCATAAGAAATAATCAAGAGACATGTATGCATGCAGGAGGCTATTCATCACAAGTCTTCACAATAGTACAATATCGAAAGTTACACAGTTGCGAGAATAAACACTAGTTAGTATGTTTAACTGCTTACCAGGGCATCAAACACAAGGAAGTCATACGTTTCATTGTCTGACATTTCCATCATTATGTTAAAAAGTGCATCTAGTGTATCCTGCAAAAACTGCAGAAAGGAAAACAGAGAGGTTAGTTGGTGCTTTGAGTTCAGTATCATACAAATAAATTCAGGGGAATAACTAGGTTTCAATAGAATAGGTTTAAAAATAGCATTTCCTTAAAAATGGCACACTTGCTTCCCACTGTTGATAATAGATAATAAGTTTTACATATTTACAGTGATAGATTTAATTTCAAATGTTGAAGTAATGAGACAGTGGGTATATTTCTAAGCATGAATATATACACATACCTTAACAATCTCTCCTCCATCTACCTCCATTAACTTCTTTAAGTTGTGTTTAATGTTCTGGGAGTTTGAACGCCAATTTAACAAGCCCAACAGGTCAACTAGGAGAAAAGACCACAAACCACAAACATTAGACACCCATTCTAAAAAGCAACCGAAATAGAACTCTGTAGAAAAGATAATTGCTCTTAATGGTGCCCAATACATCATGTAGTCTTTTAATTGACTGTGTCCTATCTAAATCAGAGAAAAACCTTGTGGTCTTCTTTCATTTCCCAAAGAGAAAAAAATTAACCACTCATGTTCAAGAACATAAAATGATACTGGAAAGGAACTCACATTTCTCAAATAATGACATCACAACATACAGTCAAAACCTAAAGACACTCATACGTAAACTTCCTACCTTTAATTTGCTGCTTTGCTTAATCTGTCCCTTGTCACTATGTGTGTCTCGGTGGGTGCAAAGAGAAAAGGGAACTTATATACACGCACCCATTTCTTTAAACTTCACATCCACACCTAGAGCAGATTTTATTTTTCCCATTTTTGGAATGAGGAAGCTGAGGCTTCATGAAATTAAATTCCTTGCCTTAGGTCATACAACTGCCAGGGAGTGGTAGGAATGGAATTTAATTATAAAATTACCTGATTCCAAACAGCCATGTCCTTGCTACTCTATTATACAGTCTTCCCTGAGTTCTTCAAAGATATAAACAGACGAGCAAATCAGATAAGTTGATATTTCAAAGGATGGCATGGCCCTTAGGGTAAGTCTGGGACAAAAATCTTGAGATATTTTTGGATTTAAAATGCATAATTTTGAATCTTTAAGTCACTTACAGCTTTAATGAATGTTCAGCTACTAAAGTGTCACAGGGAACTAGAACAGGCATCTAGACGGTTACTATTTCATCACTTTGTTTAGTGAATCAAGGTACTGCTACTATTTACAGAGTTTTATCTAGTAAAAGCAGCCGTACATACTTTTTAATCAATGGACTTGTATAAATACATATATGTAGTTGAAAACATATGCCGTTCATTAGAATAGTCAATTTGTTTCACAGGTGTGTTTGGTTTATTGGCTTGCATATTATTTAGTCCCTTGGAAATCTCCAAAACCTGGTGCTAGAGACTCCCCACTGTCAACAGAATCAAGTCCCAACACCACTTTTAGAAGGCAGGAAGGCCCCAGCTATGCTCTCCTGCCAGCCCCATCACCCACCATTCTTTTTATCCCTCAGCAGTCAGACAGATCAACTCATTACCCTCCAAACTATGGTATGCTCTGAAATAGCTCCACGTCTTTGCATGTATTCCTCCTTTTGTCTGAACAGCCCAGAAATGCTGGGTTGTTGGAAAAGTCATGCCATATTTTGTCTATGTTTTTCAAAGGTCATTTATTTATATAAGGAACAAAGATCAATCAATGATATATTGCCCGTTTTGTTCGATAACCTTTTGCCACCTTTCAGTGAACTTCGTAATTCCTCGTTCATATTAGGACCTGTCTTTATTTGTGAAAAACTGAACAAGGTGCTGATTTACAGCCTCATCTGAATTGAACGTTATGCCACACAAGGAATTTTAAAGAGAATGAAACAAGTGGAAGTCTGATGGCACAAGGTCAGGCGAGTATGGTGGGTGTGGCGACACATCCCACCCAAGCTCCAATAATTTTGGACGGGTGATCAAACTTGTAGTCTTGCGTTGTCACGATGGAACACAACTCCTTTTCAATTAACAAGCTCTGGACGTTTCTGGATGATGCATTCATTCAAACTGTTCAACTGCTGACAGTACATATTCGAATTGATTGTTTGGTTCCTTGGTAGGAGCTCGAAAAACACAACACTTTTAAAATTCCACCACACTGAGAGCATAACCTTCCTCTGATGAATGTCTGCTTTCGATGTCATTTGAGGTGAATCATCACATCGGGACCAAGACAGTTTGCACACCTCATTGTTGTAAACAATCCAGTTCTCATCACCAGTTATCAGTCGCTTCAAAAAAGGATCGTTATCCTCACGTTAAATGAGCATATTGCAGATGTTCTTAAGTGCCGTCAAATGAACTTCTTTGAGTTCATGCGGAACCCAAATATCGAGCTTGCTTATGTATCTCAGCTTCTTCAGGTGGTCGTGAACACTTGAATGATGGATGTTCAATGTTTCTGCAATTTATTGTGTTGTATAATGTGGGTTTGATTCGATCAATGCCTTTATTTTGTCGTCATCAACCTCGGTGGGCCTCCCTGACCGAGGAGCGTCGTTGAGGTCAAAATCACCAGCACAGAATTTCATGAACCATCATTGGCACTGACGTTCTTGTAGAACATTGTCACTGTAAACTTTACGCAACTTTTCACAAGCTTGACACACGTTCTTCCCTTTATGGAAGTAAAACAGTAAAATATGGCAAAAATG